TTAAAAAAAATAAAGTTGCTAGGACTTTTTGATGGAAGTGGGAACGCCGCAATGTTGAAAATATTTTAGATCGATAGAACAGGTAAGGAAATGCGGGGGGTGAAATTTTCAGAAAAATCACGCTTTGCGTTTTCCAGAAACGTCTAAGCTACCATCGACCGTGAGTCACGCTGTATATGAGTTTAGTGCCTTTATTCCATATATTTCTATTACTTGGAATGTTAATTAGATGGAACAGAATCCTGGTTGGTAAGTCGTGGTCGAATAGAACATACTAGTGTCCCTTCCACTTTCGGAACTCAGATCCCCGTAATTCATTTTTCCTATCATTTTTATCATATTCACCCCCACTCTGGTCTATATTTCACAAAAAAATATTTACCGGGGTCAAGTCACACGATCATGTAACCAGACTTTCAAAATTCATTACTACAGAGGTAAGGACCACACACAAAATACAGGAGTTTTTGGATACCTCTTCAGTTTACAGAAACTCACAGACAAGTACATTTTTGAAGAGTGTAATCGAAAGCTCAGTGAATGGGATGATAAAAAATCAGTAGCTCAAAGCTGAAGTTTTGACGCGTAAAACAGTGCGACCAGTCTATATTTGGTTCTTTATAAAAACAACCATGGGTCACCATATCGAAAATATAACCAAAAATCCGTAATCAGAACTCTCAAAAACCCTGAGATATAATTTCAGGAAGTTTTTCAGGAATACTAGAAATTCAACTCATTTTTGGGCATATAACATACAATGGGTCACCTTATCGATAATAAGACCTCAGAATCGTGATCAAAGCTCTCAAAAATCATCAGATACAAGTTTCAACCGTTTTTCAGAACTACTGAACAATTTCTCGCACTCACTGTCGATCTACCTGGGTAAAAACCATTTTGACAGTGGAAAGTCATCTTCGTTTCGTTCAGGTTTGGAGTCCAGCTCCCTTACCCTTTCGGCTGATTTTTGTTCTCGAGAAGGACCAGTGGGTTCATGACTGATTGTATGGCGGCATGAAGTCCTCAGACATCAGTACCGCCCTTCACGGGATACCCCTACCTGGCTGGGGTAGGATGGATGAGAAAGCTATTCATTCGTTAAAGGGGGACATGACGGCCTCATTCGACAGAGTGTCGGGGCCTTCTATATCGGGAGGAGTCGTCTACAGCATACTCGGTTGCTTCCCTAACTAACGGGTTTTCGTGAGTTTCCGTACTTTCAAAAACTCGCTGATTCCTCGACTGAATGGACTGTCGAATGGAAGGCAGCTGCAAATCTCTGCGGATAGATGGCTTCGTTCCGCACGAACCGAGGAGCATTCACAATCATCCTGATTAACTTATTTTGTAGTCTTTCCAAAATGGAAATGTTGGACGGAGCCGCTTGTCCCCAGACGCCTGAAGCATACATGATGACAGGCTTGAACATCGTGTTGTAGATGGTAATTTTGTTCTTTGTGCTCCATTTGGATTTTCTATCGACCAGAGGGTACAGACTAGCTATCCGACCCTCGATCTTTGACTTAACGCACATGATGTGCGGGTTCCAAGTGAGCCTACGGTCTATTAGAAGGCCGGGGTACTTTACCCGCGCTTGCCAGAGATTCTCACTTTTCTGGTCGGAGAAGATAGTAATCTTGCAATGGTTATCGCCTGAGTCTTGTCCGGGTTAACTCGGATCTTCCAATCAAGGTACCAGCGCTCGAAGTCGTCCAATGCACGTTTCATGTAGACGACGCCGAGCTCTCGACCTATGGAAGATGAGAGAAGAACCGTGTCATCAGCGTACAGGTATATCTTCACACGCTCGGACCTGGGGAGGTCGCTGGTGTAGAGAGAATACAGCGTCGGAGAGAGCAGACAGAGAGCCCTCTACTCTGACCTGAAAAGTTCTGTCTTTCAGGAAAGACCCGATCCACCGGATCAAGCCCCGAGGTAGGTCGAACGCGTTTAACTTGTGCAGAAGGCCTTCGTGCTATACTCTGTCGAAGGCCTTCGAGATACCTAGTAGCACGCTGATGGTGTTTTCGACCAACCTTAGAGCTTATAATTCAGTGGAGTGATTTCTCCTAAAGCCAAATTTTTCGTTAGACAGAACATTTCGGTCCTCAACTCTTTCGTTGAGCCTTTGCAGAACAACTCTTTCAGCTAGCTCAGCCGCCGACGAGAGTAGACTGATCTGGCGATAGTTCTGCGGGAACAGCGGGTTCTGACCCTGTTTTGGGAGCATGACGACGATCGCATGCTTCCACCTCCTGGGGAAGTGTCTGAGGGCCAACGAACTGTTGATCAAATTCAGTAAGAATTCAACGCAGTTTTACGGGAGCCTCTTCAACAACTTGTTAGTTATTGAGTCGATCCCCGGGGCTTTTTTGGCCTTTGCGGCCTTGATGTAACCCTTCAGTTCCTCCACAGAAGCTGGACGGATGTCATCATCGTCATCTTCTCTGAGGAGTCGGTGAACCCGGTCTTCCAGCAGCATATCGCGATCGATGTCGTCATCGTCGTCAACGTTAAGTTGAAACTGACGTTCCATGGTGTCTACAAAGGCTAACGCTTTGTCGGCGGGGGAGTAGCACACTCCGCGCTCTCCGTGAATGGGTGAGAGAGCAGTCTTCTTCCCCCTGAGCCTGCGAGTGACTCGCCAAAGCTCGTCACTCCCAGGTTCGAAGGATTCCAAAAGCTCTTCCCACCTTTCGTTTCGATGCTCAATGATGGCCTGTTTGACTTGGTTGGCCATCCTGTTTGCCGCTGTTTTGTCCCCTGGGAAAATGGTTCGTAGATAGAGCCTTCTCAAGCGATTCCTCTCTCATATCAAGACTTTGATACGAGGGGGAAACTCATTGTAGCTCTTCAGCGGACACTCTTCTCTGGAAGTGGCCGCTCGGAACGCATCATTCACAGAAAGCTCGAAACGCTCAACTGCCGCGTCGAGTTCGTTGGGAGAATCGAGTAACTCAGGAGGGGCGCGCATCTCTTCGAGCTGGGCTGTGAAGACATCCCAGTCCGTCTTGGATCTCATGCGATAATCAGGGGAAGGAAAAACCATCGCCCAATACCAGGAATACTGGATTATGATCGGAATCCAGTTCCGACAGAACGTAAATTTCGCTAGTCAGAGAGACGTTTCTGAGAAGCGCGATGTCTAGTACATCAGGCCTAGACTGCCCGCGATAGTACGTAGGCTCATCTGATCCCAGCACAAGATATTCATGCCTGTTAACATGCGCATGGAGCACTTGGCCGTTTCGATTTGTGGCTCAGCTCCAAGATCTGTGCTTGGCATTGAAGTCGCCAGCAGCAATTGTCGGAATGTTGCTTCCCATCAGCAGATCATCCAGAGATTCTGGGGGTAGATGAATGTTTGGAGGGTTGTTAACCGAGATTATTCTGTGACAACCCCTGCTCAGTTGAATTTCGACCCCCACGGTCTCAGTACCGTGTAATCGAGCACTGTCAATGCCGTATTGGACACACTGTAGGGATCGTTAGACAAACCATTTTGACACTTTCTTATTATATTGTTATATCGCTATCAGAAAAAGTAATTATCTATGGGTACATGCTTGAACTATTCTGCTCCACACAATGGAAGTGGTGATTGGTCGGCGATTGTCCATCAAGAAAAGGTAATTTTTTCAGAAGAAAATATTTTTCCTATTTTCAAAAAAATTTGAGAAAGTTTCATCTTCCACAGGTTTGTTGATTACAAATGCAAGTGGATCACATACAGGGTGACAATTTGAAAATTTAGAATGGCTGTATTTGAGCAACCGAATTAATTTTAAAAAATCACTGTAAACAACTTCCATAATAGATGTGATATCGAACTTGTTTTCAATTAACCCTCTGCTCCAAGCCACCCCAACCTTATATTCATAAATGGTAACCCCCTACTTATGATACCTTGTCTGAAATTTCTTAAGAAGTGCTCTTCAATGGTACCTTTCAAAGCTACATTCGATGTATTGGTTTTGGTTTATTAAATGAAATACTATTTATTTACATCAAAATTTTATTTTCTATTATTAATTCAAGAAATGTTTAAAAACATTTCCATTACCATCATAGCAATAATATTATATAACACTGTTGAACATTTCACACCTGTTCTATTTTTCTTCATCTGTACCTGAAGAAAATTGACTCATTAACTAATTTAAACTAACTAAGACTAATTGAAAGTAACAAAAAAGGGGTAGTTGAAATATTCATTTTTGAATGGTATTTTTGCATTGCATTTTTTACTTTATGACGGGAAACGATACTCTAATATTGATACATTTGATTTTAATTTTGATACGTTGTACACGAGAAACAGAATTTTTCTCTGCAACAATAATATACAACAAAGCTGAACGTATGGGAAAAATTTTTACTCATGGCAATGAATATTAGTGATAATAATAATAACTTTGTATACAGGTTAGAGTACAATTGAAACAAAATATGTGAACAAAGTGGTTGGCGATACGAGCAGAGGTCTTGTTTCGCAAGAAGTTACAAAGAATATATGTAAGTATACAAATATTTGTAAAAAAGAAAGTATGGCGTTCATGGAGTAGAAACTACGAAACATTTTATTACATTTTGTGAATTTGGTGTTATAGTTAAACAAATTATATTTTGGCTTGAGGTAAAATAGGCCGATTAAATACTAGACAAAAAAAAATAGATGAAACCTTGGACAAATATTTCACGTTTTATAAGAATAAAATATTAATGAACAAATAGATAAAATCTTGGGCATTATGGATAAGATCATGCTACTTACAATACAGTATGACACAACTTTGGAATGAATTTGACTGAGATTAACTTATTTCACTCCAACAGATTTTCAAAAATTGTCTGTGAAGATCAGCGTTTGTTGAGAAAAACAGTATTTGACCAGAGGCACCTGGAGAGATATGTAAGTCACGCGTACATTCCCGAAATAGTAGCAGAATTTTAAAAAAACTAATACTGTCACAAATGAAAAAAAGAATCGACTAAGATTACTGGACGAAGCAACGCAAATTGAGGTACTCGGACAGTTTGCAATGAATTATACTTTATCGACTAGTCAGGCAGCTACAGTAACCGAATTATTTCGCGAAGCTGTAAGGAAAGTACTTGATTTAAATAAATTCCATCCATATGTAGTAAAAATACTTCAAGAACTTGATGACAATGATCCCAACTGAAGAATTGAATTTTGTGAAATTATGACAGCTAGAGTTATCGCAGAACCTTCGCTCATCAAAAATATTTGCTTTAGCGACGAGTGCAATTTTCATTCAAATGGACAAGTAATTAAACAAAACTGTCGTTAGTGAAGTAACGAACACTACAAATGGTCAGAGAAGGGCATACGCAATACCCCTAAAAAATAATCTAATGTTCGGACTCGCATATTCAGATTGTTGGTCCATTATTTATAGAAAGGAATTCAAATGGCGAAATGTATGCTCACATGCTAAAAAAAATCTATCGAACCTCGGATAGTTCATGAATTAGAGAATCAGAGAGATATACACTGCAATTGATGTTTAGAAGAAACTTTTTTAAATTTTCAACAGGATGGGGCACCTCCTTATCATTTAGTTCCAGTTAGAAAATGGTTAGATAATTCTCATGATAATCAATGGATTGAAAGAAGAGGTCCCAACGAATGGCCTCATATATCTCCAGACCTATCTTCTCTTAATATATTTCTCTGGGGCCACCTACATCTGTTGTTTTGAAGGCGCAACCTGACTCAATAGAGCAACTGAAAGAAAGAGTAATTCAAGATAACCAAGCTATTTACAGAGGAACATTTACCAATGTAAAGTTACCAATGTAAAGTCAAGAGTTAGAGAATAGACTCTATTACCTTCTTGCAAAAAATGGAAATCACTCTGGAAATTTTAACTTAAATGAATAGTGCTTCATTTAATAAACCATAAACTACTACAGCGAATGTGACTTCGTGTGGAACCATTAAAAAGCATTTCTTGAGAGCTTTCAGATAAGGTATCACAAGTAGGGAGTTGCTATTTGAGACCTAACAGTTGGAGTGGTTGGGGCGAAGGAATAAGTGAAAACAAGTTAGCTATTGAATTATTTTGTTTCCCCATCCCTATTATGGAAGTTGTTTTCAGCGATTTCCTATATTTCATTCGGTTGCTCAGATACAGCCATTGTGAATTTTGAAATTGTCACCTTGTGTGTAATCAGAAATGGCTACAAAAATTTTTCAATCTCTTCGGTTTACTTCTATTGAAACTTTCTCCACTTTTTGTACTCACTGCAAACTAGTTCCCTTTGCGTTACAGCACTTGCATGGCTTCCATTCACTAGGGCTTTCGCCCAAGCTGCCAAGTCCCTATGAGTTTCAGCTCTGAGACAATGAGTTATGACACCCTCCACCGTCGCACATCTAATACTGAATTCCGGTAATTCCGCCTTTTTTCCAGATCCCACCAACCTAGTTGCAATAAGGGGATAGGCTTCGGCAGGCGTTCTCCACGCTTCTCCAGACCATGGGGCGCTTTCATAGAAACGGAGCTCACTGTCAGTTACTGCTGCGAAGACAGAATACTTAATTTCAATTAAGGCTATGTTTTGGACCATATTTAGCACATTTTATTTTTTATCTCGAAAACAGATAGAGATAGGTATAAAGCATTACCAACAAAAAAGTGTTAAAATACCAGAGCGATTCCAAAAATGTATTAATATATGGGTTGTTCCATTTAAAAAAAATAAAGTTGCTAGGACTTTTTGATGGAAGTGGGAACGCCGCAATGTTGAAAATATTTTAGATCGATAGAACAGGTAAGGAAATGCGGGGGGTGAAATTTTCAGAAAAATCACGCTTTGCGTTTTCCAGAAACGTCTAAGCTACCATCGACCGTGAGTCACGCTGTATATGAGTTTAGTGCCTTTATTCCATATATTTCAATTACTAGGAATGTTAATTAGATGGAACAGAATCCTGGTTGGTAAGTCGTGGTCGAATAGAACATACTAGTGTATTTTTAGTCCAATTAGTCATGAGAAGATCATCAACTTTAGGGATCAGCAAAAAATATTTTCAAAATATACCAATAAAAAATGTTATCACCTCTGATCTAGGTTTCCTCAACAACCAACCAATGTGCCTGAGATCCGGTATCGCTCTCGAAGCTTCGTGGAGAGCGGCAGTGGTGAGGACGGCTAATGCTGAGTGAAGGGTGTTGAACCAGGCTGCGGCTTCTGCAGGATCTGCTGCCCTCAAGACGCAACTATGCACTGCGTCTGGAGAGTGGAGTTCTAACGTTCGACTCTCTGAAAAAAAATGATAATCTCAGTTTCTTCTCATCATCTTCTCATATGCCTTCTTGACAATATTCAAAAAGTGATCCACAATTTATATACACTCACGTACAAAAGACAATGGAAATCATACAGTTATTCAATGAGATGAAGTGTTTCGATTTGGATTTTACAAATCTGAGCTTGTATGAGCCTGAAGAAGGAGAATGGATAATTACGTTAAATAGAGCACTTCTCATTCCTCAGAACGGATTTGATATTCCCCGGAGGGTGGGATAACACTGATATTGAAGCACAGGGCCGCGTTATGTCGATGGATCTAGGCTAAGACCGCATATGATAAACATGCTGGCAGCAAGTACATTATGGTCTTAAGCGCCTCGCAGCAGGACCTGCATCTCTCGTCAGAAACCATCAAGCGATTGTCATAGAACTCCCATGACGAATTGTCTAACCATCAGTAACACACTGTCAGCGGCTATAGAGTTCCTTCTAGGCCTACCTCCTTTCCACAATTTTCCGTAGAGAGAGGCTAGATGTGCTGCATATAGACTTGTGCACATTGCCAATTGCACAAATCAATTCAATGCATAGTGCAACAGACTGTTGGTTGACACTGGAAGTCTCAGCATTCTAGAAATGACCCCTGACTATCAACTACCAACTGCCTCATAAAGTACCGTTCGCGGGTGAAGATCACTGGATCCTCCGGAAGAAGTGAATATTGAGAGCAGGTAGTTGTTGGTTCACAGACAAATCAAAAACACCTTTCGGTTCTGGTGCAGGTGTTTTCAGTCGTAGACCAAGGACATATATATCAACCTGCCTAGGAACCTATGCGACTGTATTCCAAGCGGAAATGTACGCTAGTGAATTGTGTGCGGAGAGATTGAAAGAATCCAGCCTCATACATAAGTCAACAAAAATGTTTTCGGCCAGTCAAGCATCGTGGGAAGCTCTTGATTACTACCGAGCAACGTCTGAACTGGAATCAAATTGCCAAAAACTACTCTCCTCGATAGGAAGAATCAACAGAATGTCTCTGGTCCGGATTCCTGGCCATCATGATCTGAAAATCAATAAGGCTGCTGACTCCCTCACAAAGGAGAGTGCTGCATTCAGATACATTGGACCAGAACCTGTCATTGGCATCGCTTTAGGCTTTGCCAAACAAAGATTGAACACCTGGATGGCAAGATGATTTATGGAGTTCTAGCAGAATATTTCAGGATTGGCTCACTTCAAGGCGTTTATTCGCTTTTCGAAGCTTGATTCCAAACAGTTGTTGGACTACAGTAGGAATGAACTACGATGTCTAACAGGCCTTCTTACAGGTCACTGTCATTTGAATCATCATATGCAGAGACTCGGACTGTCATGAGACAGTGTGTGTCGCCTTTTTTTGGAAAATGATGAAACAGTAGAGCACATACTTTGTGCCTGACCCGCTGGAGTCCGAATCAGGTTTTCAGGGTTTGGCTGAGCCGTACTCTTACCATCTTACCTGAAAGACCACACCATACAAACCAATCGGCCCCGTTAAAAGCTGGATTTATTTGGTCCAATGTGAAATTGTGAGTCGATTAGACTCACTCACTTTGGACCTAACCTTACCCAACCCACGACGTAAACTTCAGTTTCCGACTTCAGCCCACATAATCTGGGGAAAGCGGAGGACATGTGCTTTCATAACTTTGTTCTTCCTTGACCGTTCCAATGACCATTTATGAGGTCTTCTGTAAATTTGTGTGTGGGTTTTATTCCACCTGCCCCATTACTGGAAACTTCTTTCACCAATTCAGCGATTTGGCTTGCAAACCCGAATTGATATGTCTTTGTGCCCTTTTTCGCCAGCCCACAAAAGGGTCCTAGACCTATCATGGTCTTGTCATCACCTTCACGGGTTAAATCCATGGATTTCTCATCACCTTTGTGTCCTTCGTGTCCGGGTATTCACGCTAGTGTAACCGTTTTATGGAAACCTAGCCCATTGATTGCGCTAAGACCGCTCTAGTTCTGGACATATCAATGCCATTTGATTAGGTCAGTAGTGGTGTAATTTTGAACATGATGATATCTTAACCAACAGCTGATAACTTGTTCTACTCAATTCTCATTTTGAAATGTCACAGTATACAATGTCATTCCCAAAGGAAGCACCATATGGGAAACTTATTTATCAAGGGTTTTTCGACAAAAAGGTATTCTTGATAAAAGTTTGTGCATCCCCTAAAACTAAACAAGTACCAACAGAATACAGTACAACACACGTAATATACGAGAAGCTTTCTTGTCCAAAATAAGTGTTTTGAGTTGAATCTCCAGAAAGTCAATGAGTTTGTTCCGAAATACCTATTTTATTTTGATGTTTTGTGATTTGATATTATGAAATATCGAGTTCTTGTTACAATACTGTATAATTTTGAGTTATTTTCGGTGTTAACAAAAAATAAAAATAACTTTGCACATGGAAACTGGGACATAAGTTGATGTAATTTATTTTATTAAACACTTAGGTAAAAATCAGGTACTTGAAATGTTGGTACTTCAAATTGTAGAATAATGTATATTTAGCATTGTAGAATTAGTTAGTGAAGACACGTCTGAAGAAGCCATTGTATAGCGAAACACGTGTTGTGTTTTCGTAAAATCGTTTAGTGAAAATCTCACACTGAAGTATTTTTTGAATACGTTAATAAAACAATTTTTTCAAAAGTGTATTCTTCATCAATAGGGGGGACCGGGGTTGGACGACATATTTTTTGTCTTTTGCATTTTTAGTATCCTTTTTCATAAATTATCAATGATATTTTTATACCAATAGATAGTATTTTCTTCTTCAACATCATCCATAAAGGAAATATAACAATTCTTATGGAAAAAAAAGGGTGACTTTCAACCTCGAGCCGGAGACAGTTGTCGTCACAGTATCTGGGGTAGATAGTAACATAGGTAATTGAGGGGTATAAAAAACATTTAAATGAATATTTTTATTGAAAGTGAAATAATATACGTAATTAATTATATTCAAGAAGAGAAAAAAAGTGTGTCATTCGTAGGAAAAAAAAATATCTACCCAAATGGAAGTACTTCCATCTGGTAATTTCAATACCGAAAATATAGGTCCATCAGGCCGCAATGCTTGTAAACTGAAAATACCCATCCTAGCGATATTATATCTAGCCAGTACAATATACGAATTCACAATTATGGCAAATGTAATCTGCCTAATGTAACGCTGTTTTTCAAATATTCTTGGAAGACGAACCGAAATAAATATTTGGAGCCATATATGTGTTAGGAATCACACGTTAAACGGTGAGTTCTCGTTAATCCTTAGGTCGCACAAGTTTCAACTTATGAAGGTTGTCGTTCGTAGGGGTGCGACAGCTGGTTAACGAAAACACAGATTGAAAAAAAATCAAACAGATGTATTTTTCTAATTCTTTCTTCTGTTTGTCGGTGAAGATTTGTCTGTACATTTAATAACCAACTTTTGTAGCTAATTTCTTCAACAGTGTATTTTTCAGGAAACAGTATCAGACTGCAATTATAATTAATTCCAAAATTATTTATCTTGCAGCACGCAGTATCACTGCGTGAAATTCTAGTCAATCAGACTTTTTCATTTGATGCCTTGAAATTTCTATGATCTCTAAAACAAACACAATTGTACGTAGAAGCTCAAAAAGCCAACAAAAAATGCAGCACAAATATATATGGTTTTGGTTGTCACATGTGACAGCCAGCCCCCGTCAAGTTGAGACAACGAGCCGCAAAACACATTTCAAAACATAAGACCCTAAAATAACTCTGAATCAATATTAATTCATAAAAACGGATAGTAATATCATGAACCACATATATCTCATCGAAAATACATAAAATAATATATATTCACGGAAATTCTAGTATTTTTATTAGACTCGATACAAATGCACAAAAATTTACTTTCGCCATCCGAGAAAAACAAATGTAAGTATTAGTGTGGGTCACAAGATTCTTTCTTTGGGACTTTTGTCAGAGGGCATCGGAAATTATGATCCAGGGCTTATTCGATTCGGAATGACCTCTAGTANATAATTTGAAAAAAATCGTTCCTCAATTTTCATATTTAGCAGCAAAAAAAATTGTTGATCAACAAATGCGTTTTTAAGCATTTCGAATCGAACAAGCCCTGAATCATGATGGGGAATCTTCGTCCTGACAAAAATCAAGTAGTTTTCATAAAAGAGCTCTAAAACAACGCATTTCAAACTTATCATTTCATCCTTTTTCTTTAAAAAATTATTTAAATACTTGAAAAAGAGGAATGAAATAATGAATTCAACATTTAGAGGGATTCGTTTCTATTTCACCATTTGGCAACATCGGTTATAGCTAATAAAGGACAATGAATTTGTTATCTGTATAAGACAAACAAAGATGACATATTTCAGAGGCGTGCTGTTCTGTTTACTTATGTTCCGAGACATGTTGTGACATATGACATTTTGTGCACCTAACCTATCTTCCTCTATATAAATAAATAACAAAACAACTGTTGTTTATGTGGCTTGTGTTATTGAACTATAATTTATATTTTGCCTCAATTGTTGATTTATAAAAATAATTTTCCTTTTTTTAAACTCAACTTTATTTCATTCAAACTTGCATTTGCTGTAATAACCCAAATTGAGGAACATTCCTCATTTCCGTTGCCCTTGGACAGATGTTCCAAAAAAAGGATCTTGTGACCCAGACTATATCTCTCTCACACAGTATGACCGTGAACTGAAGTGACGTTAGAATGGAGGAATTGCTCTCGAGATCCTTCGATTTTGCTCGATAAACTTTTTCGTCCGTTCAATTTTTCAATAGGGCCGCTGTGACAACCAACCCGTAAGACCATACCCGGTCTTCTCTAAGCATAAGAATATCATGGAAAAACAAACTGTGGAGTTCCACAAGGCTCATTTCTAGGTCCACTATTATTTCTTTTGTACATAAATGATCTGACATCTATTGATATT